AATTTTAAGAATTGGTGGTCATGGAATAAATAAAATATAGTTGCATTGTTCATATATCATTATTCCTAACATTATTATTTTTAATGACTATCTTAAAAGAATACAGCCGCGTGTCCTCTTCTAACATTTTCTTATAATTTACGAGATTGTAAACTAGACAGAAATTTAATTTTCTACTAAAAGATAATTCAAGAAAGTTTTCTTTATTTAATAGTACATCATGCGATGAACTAGATGAACTAGTTTTGTACATATATTCGCGCGAGTCGAAATAAAGCGAGCCAATCAATATTAACACGCCGCAAACAGCGTAAATTGTTGCCTAATGCCGTACACGCACACGTATACAGCGAATCAGTTCGTAGAGTGCTTATAATATCAAGGGTGTTTCAAAAATTAATTCTATCGACGTCCTTTGCCTTTGTAATTTGAAATGTATCTCACATTTGTAGCAAATACCATAAACATATTTCATTAAAAATGTACATTTAAAATTTTGAATTTTTAGAATTTTGTTATACGTTCAGATTTACTTTTAAAGTGTTAGACGTTCGATTATATCTATTCTGACATCATGCTGTATGCAGCGCGCAGTACATTTATACAAGAAGTGTACCCACACAAGGAAAAGCTAACCATGTACGTACACGTACGCATACTATTGCCGGCGCTCGGCCTGTAATAACTCGGAACCACAATAAATCAATGTGATTAATGTCATTAAGCACTGTGTGCCGGCCTCTCTATATTCCGTCAATATGCACTATTTTACGACACACCGCACCACGATAATTAGTCAGCTTTGTTAGGAGCATCGTTGAATGTTATTGTTACACGTATCTTATTATAAACATAAAGTAGTAAATTTTGAAAACATATAACTACCTATACTATAATGATTAGCTATTATTGAAAAAAAATCGTTATAAAAGTATCAATTCATCATCATCATTCATATTCTTTCTTACTATTTGTTTTTCTGCATTCTTTTTTAATTTGCAAGATGTTTGTGGATAGCTACCATGGGCCCAAACTTAAGAAGTTTCGTCGATCATAACTAAAACTACTTACACTATTGCAATTTGAAAGAAACAGTTACTAAAATCGTTGTGACAAGTAAGATGAGATCAAAGAGAGGTTATAACTAAGCGTTCATTTTAAACATGCCTGTTCTGTAAAAATGATCTCTGTTATTTCTCAAAGCGCAGATTTATCGTGACATTTGTTGCGTGCTCATTCAATGACGATAACCGTTTCTTGGTGAAATTCTGAGGCATATTTATCATAATGTATTCTCGATAAGTCGTAATTATAAAGATTAGAATGGCATCGCAAATCATGGGAACGACGGGAATCGAGCGCGCTAGTTGACATCGCTATCGCTGCCTCAAATCTCGAGATCGGCCACCACTGCACTCACTAGAGCCAGTCACTGGAATCATACTGTTTCTTCTACCGTCCTTAAATGCCTTTATGTGTAGTTGTAGTTTTACTAATGAGCGTAAATATTTATTTAGAGCATCCGTAAGTATTTTGTTGCTTATTGGCATTTGTATGTTATTTAAATGATAAGTTGAAATAAGAAACATTTAAAGTAGTTTTTATTAGAAATAATAAATAGATATAGGTGTATTTTAAATAGGAATTTTCTAGAAATGAATATTATCCCAAATAAATATTCAGTAACGCTTTAAACCGTTGTTTTTCAAATTCAACAGGTAGGCGTGTAGCTACATATTATCTGTTAGTATTATCAGGAATTTATATGAGGTAGGCGATGATACCCGCATTTTTTATGCATAATATATACATAGTTAATTATTTATAACGACATGGTATGTAAGCTGAATTTCTAATTATGAACCATTATTTATCTTAATGAGAAACTCCTTGTAAGAAAGATGTTTCTTGCAAGGTGACTTATATGACATATAAGTAATAATATGATTGTTTTATGGTTTATCTATTTTTTGAAGTCCTCGCTTTCTTAGCATATATTACTTAAGTTTTATTCTGTAGGTATAGCTCAACACGGTAAAAATATTGAGCGCGAGTAAAAGAAGCTTTTTAGTTACACTTCCATTGAGAAAATGCAATATTCGTCTAGTGTTAGTTTCTTTTCACTGATAAATTTTCTAACCGATTTATGATAAGTTAGTCAGGGTCGAATAGCAAGCGAAAAATAATCTTCATTATTACTATAAAATAAAGGAGTTAATGAAAATAATAGATAACCTTCATAATCTCTATCTATACCTACTCGGCGGTGACTATTGTGGCGGCTGTATGGATGCCGATGACCATTTCGGTTGCGCGGCTGCGCTACAAAGTTTGCAATCAAATAAATATTTCGGCACAATTAAGAAAACGTTGGAGAGGGTAGCACTCGTGACAATCGGCCCATGGGTTACCGTAGAGTCGCTTTAGATATAATTATATATCACTTAATATATAATTATAAAGGGATATAATAAAAGAATAGGATATGTTTTCATCTTTTAATTATACATCGTTGTTTAATTATAGTCGATGTTTAATGTATATATTATGTCGTATGTTATAAACTTGTTAATAGTTATGTTGAATTTGCCAGATGTAATGAATGCTTTATTTGTATCATGCAGTGATGGGGTTATTGAGTACTGGGGATTCTTCACGCCATCATAGACAAATTTTCGGATGAATTATTTTTTATCAATATGAGTAAAATAAGGAAAGTAAGGAAGATGCCAGCAGAGTCCCAGCTAAAATTGTTAAAATCTTTATATTTTACTAACATTCTTCTAATATTTCCTTTCTTCCTTTGTGTCATACGAGTATAAATAATAAATGATGTATATAGCTTATAGCTAACGAGGTACATATACCATACTGTACTGTACGTAGGTAGGTACGTACGTTCTATAAAGGTAGGCTTGAAATTGGAATTATATGGTTAAAAATTTATGTCATAAAAGCTTAGTGTCGCTTCCAAGCATCTCTGTATGCTCATTTCTCGCTTTGCCCACATCCGCTGAAGTATTTTGTTTATTGCTAATGCGATTTTATTTTTTATTGGTTTTTATTTATCTTTATTCAGCGATTGCGGTTTATTGTATTAAAATAAATAAGAATTGTCGACTTTTTAATTTTATTTGAGACTGTACACGACGGTGCCGCGAGGAGAGAAAGAAATAAATTTTAATAAGCGTTTCTTTTTTAAGGCGTGATTCTTCAGTTAAAAGCGATTTATTTTTTATATAAAGTTGAAGATAAACCGTATTCATTAGACATCGACTGGAAAGGGACTAAAATAAAAATAAATGTGGCCAAGTCGGTGTTGTCGCCGAGTTATTGTCGTTAATCAGCCCTCTCCCGGAGGCATGTTGATTGGCCGCGTGGTATCAATGAGTGCCATTGTTACCTTATTAAAATATTTTTAATTACATAAATCCAAAGATATTCTTTTCTCGAAAATATTATTTTTAAAAGGGCTTGTTAAGATTTCTTTACACTATTATGCAAATAACGTGGCACACATTGTGGTATGTGTCATAAATTTTACTTGCAATAACAAATAGAAGGTCGGCACAGCGCCTACATATTTGCATTGAATAAGTGATCATAGGTAGGTTGTACTCGGAATGCATACATACTGCGATATTTTAGTAATACTAGCCATATATAACTGAGTGTAATTTTAATATAGAGACTAATATTACGATGTAGTAATAGAGGTTCTTAATGGATATATTATATTTTCGAATCTTTCTTTTCTGCATGATTATGCAAGTTTATAATGTTAGTATATAAAGTTAAACAAATACGTAGGGTAAGATTACCTTACAAAGTGATGGTCGTGAAAAAAAAACTCAGTTGTTTATATTTAGATATTTTATTAGGTTATTTTCAAAATGGGTAAACTCACTTCGAAGGCACCAATTCATGTCGTGAGCAACGGAAGTATATAAATAATGTTTATCGATCGATCATCGCCGTGGTGTAGTGACGTAAGGTTAGATTTATGCGGCCTTCATTGTCAACGCCGTAAACTAGATCTCCATAAAAAGGAACATTTCCTATTTAAAATTTATATGAAAGACAATGGCTGACAAAAACACGGCGCCCGCTCGCGATGCGAACCCGGCCGCCTTGAGCACCACGGCGCCAACTGCCAAATCTCTATCGGACGCGCGTAAATTACGCCTTTTTACCTGGATTCCTGTTTTGACATATTTAAGGCATTAGTAATAATTATGAGTGCTCCGTCCTGGTAAGTGTGTGCCAGTGAGTTTTGACACTATCTTAATGACGGACGCCCGGTGACAATAAATATTGAATCGTTATCGGTACCTATCCGGCCTTACGTCATCCGGGTTACAGTACCAAAATAGACCCCCCAATTTGATAAAAATATAATATATTCTAATGTAATACGTCAGTTTATTTCAGAAGACATTACAGATAAATTGTGATATGACACATTACGAAAGAACTAATTGCGAAATTGGGGAGCATGGTAAGGTTAGAAGGGGTCGAGCGCATCTGTCAGTATTGTCCTCCCACACACTGATCTTTTGTCAACAACTCTCATTGGATACTTTAATTGCAATGCGATATTGGCTTCTCAAATTTATCACTGTATACCGTTATCGTTACCGTTACAGCCTGTTAAAGTCCACTGCTAAATATAGGCCCTTCCCTTAAATTGCCTCAAAGGGGAATATTTGCCACAGTTGCCACGTTTGGCTAGCAGGTGGCTGTTTTTTATTTTTAGTCGTTATTAGGAAGATGCTGCTGCCCGTCTCCTAGTTTGTTTCCCTCTGTCGCCTCTTACGTCACCCACGGAATGATATGGGGTAGTGATATTCTTACACCGCCACCACAAAAAAAGAAGTGTAAAATGCCCTTAATATATTTTATCAATAAATTTCTTTGGCTTTATACACCACACTGGGCTGACATCATAATGAGGGTAGAGCTGAAACCTTTGTTCTAGTTACATAGCTCCCAATTACCTACTGTATGTGGTATTTGTGCCTCGTTCGCTTAGTAAAACAGTACACCGAGGACAAGTCAGGTTCGCATTTAGAAACTTTTATACCACAAATATAACACATATCAAAAAAAGTACTAGCGTATTGCACATTTAAATACATTTGATAAATCACACAAGCTTTTGAATAAATAAGTACGTTTAAAAAAGAGATTCGTCGGCCTTTTTTCTGAAAATGAATATTCACCTAAATTAAATATCAATTCTGTACGATGTGAGGTAAAAAAATATGTGCTCAAATAACCGCTATCCGAAAAAGCGATCATGTGTTTCGGGTGGTATGAATAAATCAGATATAGCGACGCGAATGGCGTAGGCATCTAGGGAGTGAGGGTGAACCTTTCCCGACCGAGTTATAAAACCTTTTCAAAAAGCGGCTGAAAGAGTCACGCGTAAATTTTAAGGGTTTACGATTGCTCATTCAGTCATTAGAGTACCTCTATTGTTTACAACCGATCCTAGAGTTGTTGCGAGACGCAGATAAGATCGGGTCCGGCGAGCGCTCATTATTTATGTGAATTTTGACAGAAAAACTATAGTCGTATTGGGTTGCAACAAAACTAGAATTATTTATGGCAAGTGCGGGCAGCGCTCGCCTATAAATTATCCACCATCGAATTAAGACAAAAGCCAGCGTCGATAAGGCGCGCGATTAGGGCACGCCTCATTCCCCTGATGAGTGCAGTTGTGACGTATAAATATATTTTCTAGATTTCTTTATTGTTTATCGTAGGAAACATTCAAATTAATCTTTGTCTGAGTGTTTATAGCATTAGTTATTATTTTTTTTATAGGAGAGGGGGCAAACGAACATGCGGCTCACCTGATGGTAAGTGACTACCGCCACTCATGAACAACTGCAACACTAGGGGAACCAGGGGAATTGCAGATGCGTTGCCGATCTTTTAAAAAGGAGTAGGCTCTTTTCTTGAAGGTCCCTAAGTCGTATCGGTCCGGAAAAATCGCTGATGGTAATCGATTCCACAAGGAAGTCGTGCGAGGAAGTAAACAAAGTTAAGCTAATAAGACGAATTTTAACGTAATGAATCTAGAAGTTTAATCATTTGAAATTAAATCGTGACGAAATTATCCATAGACAAAACAATAATGGGGTGAAGTTTCTAAAGGAACTCTGTCGGCGACTGGTCGTTGCTGCTGATGATAAGAGGGCTGGTTCGTTACTCGCGCGAAGGTTAAGTATAGCCATTTAGTGAGGAAACGCAGCCAACATTCTTGGCACGACACTATGGACAGTGGGACTGTATGATAATTTGAGTTATTAGTTTGAGTTTTTTATTATAGTTTTTTGATATTGTATATATTTCAGTGTTATAGAAACAATAAATAAAGATACAAAGTTAACTTAAATTTATCAATTAAAACAGAAATATGTATATAATTTTCCTTTGACAATCAGAGTTCGCTGTTTACAGTTTAATTAATTATCCAAACAAACGACAAACAAGCACCAATTCTTCAATTTTTTTAAAGGTTGTAATGTAATATTAAAATATGATATTGATCATCATATTTAGCATTTGCGGAATAAAAACAGCATGGTTATGAACGAAAACATCTGCGGATTCGAAATACATACGTATTCAAAAGCACTCTGATAATTAAATGAAGATTTTATATACCATAAACATCCGCTCGCATTAAACATAGACGGAAACAATGTTACAAAACGGCAACCCCTTAATAGGCTTCCATAGACAAGGGTGAATGAAATACGGTTAATGATAAATCCACAAATGAGATTTGCCGGACGTATGACCACTCAAAACCGATACACTATTGTCACCGGACACTCACCTTACAATGACACAGATCAACAAAATTTTGAAGCTTATGGCTCACTTATATAGGCTGTTTTAAATAAGTGTATTTAATTGTAACTATTTAATAGTTCTATTATTTTAAATTTTAGCTATCACATAAATTGAATACTATCTCCAATATAAAATGTTATTCCTTCTAAAATAAGAGCGAGTCTTTTAAGTGTTATTATTTCAATTTATTTCGTTCATACACCAATGTTGAGGCCCTTTTTTTATAGAAGAGGAGGCAAACGAGCATGCGGCTTACCTGATGGCAAGTGACTACCGCCGCCCATGAACAACTGCAACACCAGGGGAATCGCAGATGCGTTGTCGACCTTTTAAAAAGGAGTAGGATCTTTACTTGAATATCCCTAAGTCGTATCGGTCCAGAAAAATCGCTGATGGTAATCGATTTCAAGGAAGTCGTGCGAGGAAGAAAACATCTTCTAAATCGCACAGTGGTGGACCGCCAATCATCCAGATGGTGTGGATGGAATCGGGAGTTCTGCCGCAATGTGCGTTCGTGAAATTTGGCGGCTGGGATTAATCCAAACAATTCCTCAGACCACTCCCCGTGGTAAATTCGAAAGAAAATGCAAAGGGATGCAACATCTCTTCGTAGAGGCAATGAATCGAACCGATCGGAAAGGACACGGTCGTTACGATTTGAGCCGTTCTGCGCTGGATGCGGTCAAGTGGAAGGAGCTGGCACTGGGGAGCCCCTGCCCAGATGTGGGAACAGTATTCTATGTGAGGCCAAACCTGCGCCTTGTAAAGTTGCAGGCGGTGTGCCGGCATGAAATACTGTCCCGCTCTGCTGAGCAGCATGCCTATGTTCAGTAAAGGAGTTACGGCTACTCTGTAATGAATTTCCTATATCTCTCACAACAAAGTGTTTGAATCAATGACTATTTTTTGAATTAATGGTATTCTGTTATGTTACATAAAGTAGTTAGCAACCCACTAAATAGTTTTATCTTGTTTTTCTTTTATTGAATAAGGGTGACAAATGAGCATGCGGTCCACCCGATGGTAAGTGGATGCCGTGGCCCATTGTTATCTACATCAATCCTCAATGAAGAATCAAAATGCAAATTCGTTGTCACCCCTGAGGACTATGGAATGTCTCGTTTCCAGTAAAAAAAGGTCAACGGTACTCTACACTCACCATACCAAACACAGCAGCATCAAACTGCTATTTAAAGCTGTTATTCTGTGAGAGCGTGTCGTGGGCGCGGTTGAGCCGACCTGTTCATGCTACAACTAAAATATAGCTGCAGTATAGCTCTACCACGTGTTTGTTCTTAAATAAAACCGTCAAAATGTTGAAAAACTCTAAAGTACTTGCTATATTACTAAAGAATATAATGTGATGTTATAATATATGTTTTTAAATCTAATAGTTTACAAGTTTTGATAATTTAAAAAAAATACCAATCATCCTGTAAACCGGGTGTAGGTGGTGACGTTCCAGATGGACACGGGTCAGCAGCTGCGCGATAATTAAGAGGTGGCCACTGGAAGTGGCATGCGCCGGCGCACAATGCGCTTCAATTGAATGAGAGTAATCTTTGCACCCACGCGTCTTTTGTGAGCGTGGGTGGACGCTGACCATTCGCCGATCGATTGTAGAGTTGCTCTACCTTAATTTTTCATGCAGTTATAAATTTAAAAAGTTATAAATACTATAATACAATAACCTATAAATTATTACACCCGAATTCGCTGGGGAATCAAGGTTGTGGAAAGTGCAACTTATGACTGAGACAAAATACTTAATTTTCAATTCTTGAAGGTATGGGTTTTTTGTCTCATCATAAGACAGCGACCTTTGTTGTGTGAAATTGTTACTCTTTAAAATTTTGTTCGTATATCTTTTATAGCTTATGAGATAATCATCAAAACCATTTATTTTATCAAATCTTCGATTTCACAAGAGATCTCGCATGTGTTTGAATAAAATATAGCATAGATAACTCCTGGTATTTATCTCTATCTGTTTTTGAAGGTTCTTCACAATCGGTTTGCCATTTCGAATATTAGCCCGAACAGACAGAGAGAGAGAGAGAGAGAGAGGGAGAGAGAGAGAGAGAGAAAGAGAGAGAGACAGACAGACATACAGACAAAAAAATTAAAAATGTTTTCTCCAATGTCATAATAACCCCACTGAGCTTAATATAACCAAATTAAGTTATTTTAATATTACAGATAGAAAATTCTATTTTATTTATATGCACTATAGATGAGCTACGTTGACTGCCTCGTTGGTCTAGTGGTTGTATTAGTACGACTGCTGAACATGAGGTCCCGAGTTCGAATCCCGAGTCGGGCCAAAAAAATCAGTTATTGACTTTTCCATCAAGAAATTCTCAGTAGCTGCCCGGAGTCAGGAAGTAGGCGGTGTCTCACCCCCGTGCCTCGGAAAACACAAGTCGTTAGTCCCGCGCCTGATCTCTCTCCGGTCGTGTCGGTTTACTGTCCCATTGGACTATGAGAGTGAGAGAATAGAGAGTGCACCTGTGCTTGCGCATACACTTGGGCACTATAATCCTGTCCTGCGCCGATGGCTAGTCTCCGTTGAGAATGGCCGCCGTGACCGAAATTCTGTCTGGAGGACATGGCGGAAAGCGTCATGAACTTGCCAAAAGCATGTCTGAAATCTCTGTCTACGATTCTAGGTGATAGGCGTGAGAGTGTGGTCCGTGATCCGTTCAGATAACAAGCTACCCCTTTGTTTTTATCTAACTGCCCTACATATGTATTTACAAAGTAGAGGGTGTAGAAAGTTGCAGTATAGTACTGTATAATCCAATCTTAGTTGCAATATGGGTTCTACTACAACAATTTCAAGTAGAGCAAACATTCAACTAACGCAGTACGTTCAAAAGCAAACAATAACTCTAAAAATTGCCTTAATGATAAATTGGTGACCGTCCCTAATGGCTATTGGGGCAAAAGCGATTCCACCAGGAATATAACCCGAAGCAGTCATATCCTACTCCAAATACAATGAAGCTATTCTATGATTTATCTCTTAATTTTGCTCATCGCTGACATTACTTCAAGGTGGTTTTTATTTTATTACGGCAATAATTCTTTCAAATAATAACAGCCAAACCAATTTCGTGACAATGCTATTTCAGTTACGATATCTTCTAGTTAAGATTTAGTAAAGTTATATTATTTCATACGAATACTTATGACGTCTAATTTATTATATTTTAATAAATTATTCGGAATTGCTTTTGATATTTATTATAACGGTTATTTTATAGAAGTCAAGATTCGATGACACTTACTTCATTAATCTTGCAGCTTATGATATTTTTAAGCAAGATTTTTTGTTCGTCTATTACAAATGGCATGAGGTAAAACTGATAACACCATTTGTTTTACAAAATTGTTTCATAAAATCTTATCATTAATTTGGTTATATATTTTGTAAATACATCAGTATTTACATACTTTGACATGGCTGTGTTTGATAAGTTTAAAACAAAAATAGAAGATTTCACACGTCCCATAGCTGAGCAAAGGCTTCCTCCCATTCCGAAGAGGATTTTGGAGTAGAAAAATGCATGGTAAGAGTTAAACTTAAAACTATGTTTAACAATTTCGTTAGTACATATACGCAGGGATTAAACAGTAAATAAATAAATAGTTATTTAATAAATAATAGAATTTCAGACCTTAGCTTAGCTCAGGGATAAGAGTTACGGAGGCTGTAAGTTTAAAAATGATCAACGACGACAAGTTTTTAAGACTTTTTTGTCGAATAAAGGTGGCAATCGAGCAGAGCCCACCTGATGTTAAGAGGACACTGCGACCTATGGACATCTACATCTATTAAGAATCAAAATGCAGCTGCGTTGTCAACCCTGAGGACTAAGATGCCTCGTTTCCAGTAAAAATGGTCTCCGGTTCTTTACACTGTAACGGTGGTAGAGCCACGCGGCAGCTTTTGCTGTTGCACGTATGGGCCGGCTCGAGCCGGGTTGGTACCACGACCTCATAGAATACCGGCGTGAAGTGGACGATCTGTTTCTGCGTTTCGTCTGTGGCGAGTGCAGGAGAATTGGCCGGCGGCCAATTCCCCTCCCCCCACCCTCCATAGCAACATGGTAGCAGAATTAAATCAAAGACTACCCCAGGAGGGTACCAGCCCCCCTGGAGAATCCCTCGCTGAGCTGAGATCCCACCTGAGCAGGCTGTCCCGCGTATTCTGGGAGGGGGGGATTTAGAAGATTAGTTTTCTTCATCGTACAACTTCCTTGTGAAATCGATTACCACCAGCGATTTTTCCGGACCGATATGAGTTAGGGACCTTCAAGAATAGAGCCTCCTTTTTAAAAGGCCGGCAAGGCATCTGCAATTTCCCTGCTTCCCCTGGTGTTGAAGTTTTCATAGACGGCGGTAGTCACTTACCGTTAGGTGAGCCGCATGCTCGTTTTCCCCTTCTCCGATAAAAAAAAAACACTCACCATACAAAACACAGCAGCAGAGACATTTATGCTACAACTATAATACATTTGCAGCATGGTTCTAACACGTGCAAAACCTGACTACATAATATGATAACGTTAATAGTTTCCCCGTTAAATTTAACCAAAAAATCTTCAGTTAATCTGAAACATCGTCCTCCCACGATAAGTGGCTATAATAGCCACTTACATCGTTGTCAAACTAAAGTCTGCTATGTGCTCTATTTTGAGATTTTAGCATTTTGACTAGGAACTAGTTCACCAATCAATATTTCGTATAAAATAACTGATATGTGCTTTTGAGGACTCTACAGCGAATCATGCCAATTTTTTAAAACATGCTATGTGCAGCAGCTAGAATATAGTCAATTAATACCTGCTGTATGTAATTAGTACCTGCTAATGTGACAAACATGCACATAGCATATTTTATTTGACCACGATCAATTGTGATTGCTTAGTAGAATATCTGCTGTGTTTAGTCTAAACACAAAACAACATTAACATTACATTAACTAGCTAATAAGTAATAGATAAATAAGCACATATTTTATATATCACTTATTAGTCTCAAGAAATTTTACACTAATAAATAAGGTAAGAAACTAAAGTAGTTCGTACCCATAAATTACCAATAAGTTGACAGGCAGATAAGTTCATTTTTGAATCACTTATTAGTTCCAAGGATCGAACGTCCTTCAAAATAATAAATTAGATGATAAGCTAAAACTGTTTGCATTCATAATTTACTGATATGTGACAGGCAAGTAAGTTATTTCCAAAGTGTTTTAGGAATAGCTAGTTAATCTTGAGGACCATATTTTTGAATATTTGCCCACTATGTTCAAGTTTCCCATGCTCTTACAATATTAATACATTTTGTATTAGAAATAGTTAACTCTATCATATCTCTTGAGTTAACTACTACGTAGCACAGTCAGTTGATGAACTGTATTAACTTGTAAAGTACTTTGCACCTTCCCATAAGTGAAGAAGAAATCTTTGGTTTTTTGTGTAAGCAACAAAATGAGCCAGGGAAAGAAAATAGTAAATTTAGTTTTAACGGCTAATGACGAAAAAGGTTTACAAGAGAAAAGTCAACATCCAACCTCGCAGTGAACCAATGCTTTTGATTCAAGACCTGCTAAATTCCACAGCTACACAGGAGAGTGATCAACCGTCTATACCCTCTAGCAGTGAAAATAACGTGTCGGTAAATTCATCCCCTGAACGAAGTAATAGCCCACCCTTGCCTACAATCACGAAACGGAAGCGTTACATTGTTTACAGTAGCGATGATGATGACAATTCATCAAATCCTGTCCAGGAGTTCACACCGAGCATTGAAATGCCTAGCTGCTCTCAAACTTCAATATTTCGTCAATCGAAAGCTAAACGCCACCGTTTACTGCGTAAATAATACATGGGTTACCAGAAAAAAGACAGGAAGCTAGAACAAAGCATTCCAAAGAAGTCAGATCTGTAAAAACTCGTTGTAATCATACTGCAATAATACAAAAATCTAAAAATAGTTTTATATGTGGTTTAGCATCAGAAGAAGAACGAGCTTAATTGCATGTCAAGTTTAGGAATATGAATTGATGGGGTGACAAAAAAGTACAAGAATAAGTACCCAAAAGAAATTTTAGTAAGCAAGGAAAACGTGATAATTCTATTACTGTCAGGAAAGAAACTGCTTTTGATATTTTTGTACCTAAGTTTGATTCCCAAAATGCCAAAGTAAAAGTGTGCAGAATGTTTTTTTTTAAAAACACTTGATCTTGGACTTGATTCTTTCTTACGCTGGGTTAAAGATACATCAACAATGACAGTCATGGCAAATAACAATGAATACCCTACTTTAATTGGACGTAATCGTAATGTCTTGGCCACCACCAGAAGTACACGAGGAACGGTGTCCGAATGGCTCAATTTACTCCCGAAAGTGCCTAGTCACTATTACCGTCAAAGCGTATTTACGTAGAGACAACTTTTCGATGACACCTGCACATGCACGCAGTTTATAAAACATGTTTTTTTTATAGGATAAGGGTGACAAACGAGCACACAGTCCACCAGATGGTAAGTAGTTGCTGCGGCCCATAGACATCTACATCTATCCTCTATTACAAATGAAAATGCAGATGCGTTGTCACCCGTGAGGACTAAGATGGAATGCCTAATTTCCAGTAAAAGGGGTCTCCGGTTCTCTACACTCACCATATGAAACACAGCAGCGTTAAGCTGCTATTTTACGCTGGTATTCTGTGAGGGCGTGGTCCTCCCCGGTCGAGCCGACCCATTCGTGCTACAACTATACTACTAATATAGCTGCAGCATGGCTCTACCACGTATAATTGTATTGGTGTAATAAACAAAACAAAAAGCCACCAACATTTCAGTTGACAAACCAAGGAAGGACCAATGCGATGTCTGCACTAGTTTTCAGTTAAAACATATTTCGCAAGGGGATTATGAGACACATATCCAGAAAAAAGATGAAGCACGTTGTGCTAAAAACAAGGCAATAGAAAACTTGAATGGTAATCAGTCCACCTAGTAATATCTGTTGACGTGCAGTGTTCTTTTGGCACCAAAATTGCTTACAGGAGCACTGTATTATAAACAAAAACTACAATGTCTGTGGCGGATTGGGATTATTTTACTAGATATAGTGGACTGTATTGATATTCTAAATCC